CTCCGCCGCCGCCGTTGCCGCCGCCGCCGCCGCCGCCGCTGCCGCCGCCGCAGCCGCCGCTGTGCCGCCGCCCGCCGCCGCCGCCGCCGCCGCTCTGCCGCCGCCGCCGCTAACACTAAGAAGAATACCACTAACATCAAGAAGAAGAAGCATGCATACTACGAAGCATAATATTACTAATACGAAGAATAAGAATACTAATAACAAGAAGACGAAGGCGAATAATAATACGATGAATAACAACAGAAACAACCATAATAATTCGAAACAGACGAATAATATCACACATAACGATACGAATACTAAGAATAATAATACGACTACTACTACTACTAATCAGACTAATAAGAATAATATTTGAGACGGAGAAGAATAAGAAGAACACGTATATGGACAACACTAATAATCATATAAAAAACCATAATAAGGCGTATCTGAAGACTACTGAGAATACTTTTAATAATAATAACAATAATAATGACAATGCTCAAATTATTCAGAAGAAAAGAATAATGATACTCATATTATCACGAATACGAATAGTAGTAATACTAACAACAATACCAATAGTAACACTAGTCATATTAATAGTAATACAAGTAATAATCATATAGAGATCAGAATGCGAATTCCAGTCGTGCTCATAGTAATGCTAGTAATCATATTGTTATCCTTTTTAATAGGACAATACTAGTACTCCTAATACTACTATTACGAATAATAATGACACTACTGCTCATCATTATAGTCATAATATTATTACCACTACTCCAAATACTACGCATACCAATAGTACTACTAGCATTGTGATTCATAATAATAATGCGAACAATAGTAGGAGTAGTAGTCATACACATATGCCGATTTCTATTATTTTGTTGTATTAAAATACTTATAATAATATTATCACTACTTTTCATACTAATAATCTTAATTCTTATTAGTCATACTAATGATGATAATATTAGTCGTAATAATACTAATAATACTAGTAGTAGTAGTAATAGTAGTGGTAATAGAAATAGTATTAATAATATTGATATTACTAGTAATAATACACATAATAATACAAATAATAATACTGATACTCGTAATACTAAAACCAATACGAACAACAATACTAAGACTAGTGATAATAACACTAATAACAATAATACTACGACTACTACTAATAGTATTATTATTATTATCAGTACTACTAATTATATTAGTAACAGTCATACTAATAATGATAGCAGTAATAATACTAGTAATTCTAGTAATATGAACAATACTAATAATACTGATACTAATACTAATACTAACACTACTAATAGTAACACTACTAGTAATACTAATAGTAATGCTAATAACACTACTAACACTAATAATACTCATAATCATAATACTCATCATAATAATAAGAAGAGGAGGAGGAGGAGGAGGAGGAGGAGGAGGAGGAGGAGGAGGATGAGGAGGAGGAGGAGGAGGAGGAGGAGGAGGAGGACGAGGACGAAAGGGAAAACGAAAAAGTGGAGGAGGAGGAGGATGAGGAGGAGGAGGGGGAGGACTAGCCACGTCGAGCCGAAAGTCCGGCTTGAAGGAAGCGGGCGGGGCCGACGCCCGCCGCGCGGCGGGCCCGCGAGCCATCGGCGGCAGCCAGCCGCGGGGGCGCGTGCAGCCGAGGGGGGCGGGCTGCCGCGGGAAGGGGCGTGTCCTGCAGCGCCCGCGCGCCGCCCGGCAGCGAGCTGTTCGAGGCGGGTCGGCCGAGCGAGTGCGTTGGGCGGCGCGGGGCGGCCAACCGAATCGAACATCGGGGTGCTCCCGGCGAGGGGGCGGCGCCGGCGTGCGACGACGGCCGCCGCAACGTGGGCGCCGTGGCCCCAGGCATCGGGGCGGGAACGGTCAGGGCGGGGAGGGGCAGGGGACAACGAAAGGAGGGATGGGAGAGGAGGCGCTCGTTTTTCCCCTTCCTCCTGTCCTTTTTCGCCCCCTCCTCTCATTTTTCACCTGCTCTGTTTTTTTTGTGGTCGCCTAAGTGTGACTCTGGCGCCGACACCCGAGGCAAGGATCGGGCACTGCAGCAGGCCCAGAAAAACGCAGGGTGTCGGACCGTGGGCAATTGAGCGACGGAACGACACGGGATGGACTGTGCAGGCATCGGCGCGTACACCCCCTGCGTGAAACCGTAAGCGCCTTCGTTTCTAGCGCGGGGTGCCGCGGTGAAAGCCCGCGTCAGCCGCGGCGCAAGGTTGCTATGCCATCTCGCGCGGAACCAGATCCGCTTCGTCGTTCAGTTGCCCTGTGCGTGCTTTGTCCCAGGGGGGCGGGGCTGTGCCGGCCGCGATCTGTGCCCCGGGAGCCCAGGAGGCGGCGACCGAGAGGAAACCAGCAGCGGGGACGGACAGGGGCGGGAGGGAGTGGACGGACCATTTGCAACGGGGGGAGGGAGGCGACCACTTATCTTCGGGAAGCCGCGCACGAGTTGGACGGGCGCCCCAGCCCAGGCGGCCCTAGCCCCTCCTCCTCCGCCTCCTCCTCCTCCTCCTCCTCCTCCTCCTCTGCCTCCTCTGCCTCGTTGTTTTCCCTATGTTTCGTCCTTCTCCTCCACCTCCTCCTCTCCGCCTCCCTCCTCGTTTCCGCCTCGAGGGTAGGCTGAATAGTGATACGTACCGTCTGTGCGTCAAGGTGGTTGGCGCGGGGGCGGCGGCCATCTAAAGAGGCAGGGAGCGGTTTTGGAGGGGCTCCGAGACCCATGCCCTGGGACCGGCCTTTCCACCCCGAGCCGTTGCTGGACGGGCCCGAGGCCCGGAGGCCAACAGATGACGACAAACCTCCCGCCGCGTTTTTTCCACAGCGCGAGGCCTCCTCCTCCTCCTCCTCCTCCTCCTCCTCCTCCTCCTCAGCTTGACGTTCTCAGCTCGCCCTGTTTCTAGACGCGCCCCTGCAGGCCGAGCCGCGGCCCCGGGCCGCGGCCTCCCACGGCCGAGGCGGGCGCGCGGCGCCCCGGCCAACGGTCGTGGACTTCCCTCGCCCGCGCGCGCTCGCCCCGGCGGCCCGCGCTGGTGGGCCTGGCCGTGACGCGCGGGCGCGCCTCCTCCTCCTCCTCCTCCTCCTCCTCCTCCTCCTCCTCCTCCTCCTCCTCTCCTCCTCCTCCCTCCTCCTTCTCCTGTCCCTCCTCCTCCTCCTCCTCCTCCCCTATCCTCCTCCTCCTCCTCCTCCTCCTCCTCCTCCTCCTCCTCCTCCTCCTCCTCCTCTGCCACCTCCTCCTCCTCGCCTCCAGGGCGGCCGGCCAGCGGTTGCCCGGCGTGTGACGCCGAGGGCTGCCGCTCAGGGCTGCCTCGCCCTCGGTGGCGCCGCGTCGGCGGCCGCGCTCGCGAGCCCTCGGTCCCATCGGCCTCGGCGGCGCCCGGGCGCGAGGGGCGCGCAGCCTGGCTGGCGTGGCGACGGGCGGCGGTCGCCGGAGGTCGGAGGGCGCAATCTGCACAACGTACATATCCGCTGCACCTGGCCAGGCCCGTCCCCCGTCCAGGAGCGGTGCAGAAGCAGCTCTGGCCTTTGCGGGAGGGCGTGCACCCAGGCTTTGTACGTCGTGTCGCAACCGAGGCAGTCCGCACGCGCGCTTGTGCAAGCTGGGAAGCGGCATCGCGAATTGTCCGGCAGCAGGGGTAGTACAAAAAGGGGGGGGGATGCAGCGGCCGCGGGCAGGGGGTAGCGTGTACCGAGACATGCGATGTCCGGATTTTTTCAGAACTGGGTCCTCCCTGGGACCCGTTTTCCATCCTTAGCCGCCCGTGGCCCGGTGAGGGCCCAGAGGCCCGAAACTATCGAGCCTTTCCCCTCTGGATTTTTTCAGGACGCGAGCGTGTGTGAGTGCATCAATTTGTACGCCAGATAATTTGCATATCGGTTGTCCCGTTTAGCCCCGCCCTGGTGCTGATCGTTTCTGCCTCGCCGCCGACGAAAAGAAGGTGTGAGTACATTCCTCCTGGGCCCAGGATTCAGGGGCGGCCAAGAGGGGAGTGATGACAAGGGGGGGCGCAGACATCATGGCGGGGGCCATGATCTCTCCCCAGATTTTGTGGCGCCTTCTTTCTGTTTCCATATACGTTCCCCAGCCCCCCCCTGGTCCGCACACATGCCGCCGGCCATGATCTGCACCCTCCCCTCTTGGACGCCCCCCTCTTGGCCGCCCCCGAAGGATGGTCCTGGCCAGGGGCTGTGGTCACGTGCACTTCGTCGGCGCTCCGAGAGGTGGCGGCGGCCGCGGCGGCTGGCCTGCGGGTCTTCGGCATCTCGGACGTGCACGCCGACTGGGAGGAGAACCGCGCGCTGCTGGAGGCGCTGCCCCGGGGGCCCTTCGCGGAGGATGCGCTCCTCGTGGCCGGAGACCGGGGAGGGGGAGCCAACCCAGACCCCCTCGCGTTGTGAAGAAATCACGACGGGAGGTTTTTCGCTATTTTCGGCCCCTGGGGGCCCTCACCGGGCCTCGGGACCGTCAACTAACGACTCACAGTCGAAAGCCCGTCCCGGGGAAAGGGTCCGGACTTCTGGGGGTCGGGTCATGAAAAGGTCATGACGTCGGGGGTTTGGGGGCCCAAGGTGCCCCGAACTTCTCGCGCTCCATTTTGGAGCTCCTGGGGCCCTCGGGGCCTCGTGAGGGGTGCTTGGGTTCCTCCATGGGAATCCTGGGGGCACACCTTGGGCCAGGGGACCTTCAAGCAGCGCCCCAACATTTGTTTTTTTTTTTTTTTGTTTCTTCTTTTTTTTTTTTTCTCCTCTGGCGCGTGACGGTCGTTGCCTGGGCCAACCATCCCGCCGGGTAACGGTAACGATCGCACGTAGGGGGGGGAGCACGGCCTGGACCCCCCTCGAGAGGCTGGTGCTTGCGCGCATGATGTTGCGATCGCAGCGCCTGCCCGCCCCGACGCGCCCCACCCAGCCCACGCGTTTCCGTTCACTGGGGCTTTAACCCCGCTCCCACCATCTGGGGTGACGACCGTTGACAAGTTCAGTCAGGGCAACGTGAGGTCGGCGTCACCCCAACACATGAATACTATGGGAGCGTCGCCCCCCCTGGGGCGATGCGCGCACCGAGAAAGCCTTCAGCATTTGCGCCGTGGCGGGCGCTTTCTGGCCGCAGCGCTCGGGAAACGATGCACTACAAGATGGGTGTAGTATATGTTCGGGTCGGACGCGCGCCTCCAAGGAGGACATGTAGCATTAGCAGGTCTCTGTGCGTCCCATAAGGGGGGTGCAGACTCGGGGGAGGGAGGGGGGGCGCATCGACCCCCAGTTGTCCACTCATCACCGATCGGGGCCCGATTGCCCAGCCCAGCCAGGAGCGTGCGGACTGTGGGGGGCCTGCCGCCGATGAGTCGGTGATGCATCGCCCACTCCAGCTCGAGGTTCCCTCCTCTGATCTGGTGCCTCCCTATCGTTGCCCCTCAAGAAGGGAAAACCGACGAGGAAAATCCCGGAGGCCACGTGCGCCGCGCAAGAGTTGAACGGCTTAGTCCACACGTCCGCCCCGTGTGAAACAAATCGACGTTCGCACGGTGATGCTCCGACGTGAGTCTCATGTGAGTTCGACGTGAGTGCGACGTAGTCCGACGTGAACCCGACGCAGGTCCGAGACGCGGATCCGAGTTGCCCGCGCGAGGCATCCAGGATTTTCTTCAACAAGGCACCTATGCCGCTGCTCTGGGGTCCCGTCCCAGGGCGCGCTCTGATCAGGATGCCGGAGGCGACTCCAGGCGTGGCGGCGAGGGCCCTCCATGGCGCGCCCCTGGAGGGGATTGGATTGCAAGCGTGATTAATCACCTGGGGCTGACACGAGAGTGCGGCACTCAACTATATGCAGACGATGGCTGTGGCAACTGGGAACGATGCAACAGTACGTACATGCAGCACGGGCGCCAAGGTTCGGTGAATCTCCCCGCCCCCGTTGTGTCCCCACATACCCCCAGGGCCCCAGATTGGACGGAACTGCACGGGGCTGGCACGACTCGACGTAGCTCATTCTGCACCGGAAGGGAAGGATAAGGGGCAAGACCGAGGGGAGGTATGATAAGATCCGAGAGGAGAGAGTAAGACTGGGACGCAGATTCAAAACTTCCATTTCGGTAGGAGGGCAGATCGAGGGGGAGGGTCGCGAGTAGGCTGCCTGACCACTCCGACCCGACTGAGCACCTATAAGGCGGTGCTGCAAGAGGAACGTACAACAACAGTTCGTCTTCCTGAGAGGGGAAGGAAGGGGGCGCGGCAGGGCAGAATTGGCACGACAAAAAGCTCGGCGACGTCCAACTACCATCCATCCTCCGTCCTCCTACCATCCTCCCAGCCCCTCCTCCACATGTGCACCTATTGGCCAAGCTGGGCCAGGCGCGCATTGACAAGCATATCATCGTAACTGAATGCCTGAGGAGGGGGAGGAGCAAGCACATGCATTGGTCCTGCCCGGACCCACCAGCTCACGCACATGTAAGGCACGCCGTCAGCTCACGCTTCGACTCGGCCGACTTCGCAACCGCTCCGCGAACCGTATAAGATCTGCATTGCACTAGGGCCCATTTCCACAGCAAGTCGAAGGCTCGACATGGTGGCCTGCTGGAGGGCAAAAGGATCAGAGGGTGAACGTGATGTTCATGAACAGCCCCGCGAACACCATGGTCCAGAGCCACGGCCATGGCAGCAGCAGCGCCGGAGGCGGAGGCATCGCACGCCTCGAGCCTCGGCCCCACCGGGGGGGAAGCACCTGCAGGAAACGGTGGCGCACGGCGTAGGACTACACCAGGAGCTCCAGGTTCCTGAGCCTCGGCCGCGGCGGCAGCAGTGCCAGAAGCGGCAGCTGTAGACGGCGCCCGACTAGGTGCATCCGGGGGCGTAGCACCAGCACTCGATCGTGTCGCAGGGCGTAAAGCGTTATCACGTTGATCGCGAACCACACCAGGAAATCCACGTGTCGGAGGCGAGGCCGCGGCCGCGGCGGCAGCAACTCCAGAAGCGCCGACCGCACTTCCAGCAGGTAGCCGCGGCTCTGAGCGAACAGCACGATCGAGATGATCCTGAACCCCGGGTTCGGCAGCAGCAGCGACGGAAGCGGATACCGCGAAACACACCCGCTTTCGCGCCTCTGGGGGCGCAGCACCAGCAGGCAAATGTGTCGGGGCGTAGGTCACGATCACGGGGAGCGTGGACAACACCACCAAGAGCTCCAGATTCGAGAGCCTCGGTTCCGGCAGCAGCAGCGCCAGAAGCGGCCGCGCCAAACGCCCTGCGACGTGGCGCTTCCGGGGGCGCAGAACCAGCATGGTGCTCCGGATCAGGGCGTAGAGGACAACCACGAGGTTCTTGAACATCACCAGGACATCCACGATCCGGAGCCGTGGCCACGGCCGCGGCAGCAGCACCGCTGGAAGCGGCAACCGCACGCGCCACCTTCCCAGGCGCCTCCGGGGGCGCAGCACCAGCAGGCAACCATGGCGCAGGGCGTAGGGCGCTATCACGAGGAGCGTGAACAACATCAGGAGCTCCAGCGTTGGGGGCCTCGTCCACGGAAGCAGCCTCGCTGGCAGAGGCAGGCGGCCCATGCTGATGATCATCGCGTGCATGTGGTGGCGGCAATACACGCTGCGGCAGCATGTACGAAGAAGTCGGCGAGGAAGGCGAAGGAACGCATGGAGCCGGCCATGCACGATGCCAAACTGTCGCCTCAACCTCCGCAGCCTCCGCGTGGATCGAGCCAGACGAAGGTGTAGCCGGCGGCGATGGTACGCTTCTCTCCGCAAGTGTCGGAGGAGCACGCGCCGGCGCATGGCCTCGCGGTCTCGGTTCAGCAACACTAGCAAGCTCATCGGCACCTGCAAGAACCGTAGCACGATCATGAGGTACGCAAGGATGAGCGGGTTGGGGAAGAATGCGTCGACGGGTATGGCCACTGCAAGCGAACGCCAGCGCGGCCACGTCGCCCATCCGGACACGGCGGCCGACTCGGGCCGCGTAGCCATGGTGACAGCCAGCCGAGGCGCGAAGGGGCGGCCTCGGCTGGCTGTCACCACGGCGCCGGCCGGCCACGTCTCGTTGCGCGCGGTCATCCTCGGATCCGGGCCTGGACGGGTCGACGCGCAATGCAGCTGTCCCAGGAGGTGGTGGGGGCCAAAACCAGCACCTTGTGTGCTGGCAAAGGGGTCTCTTGGGGTCCTCCTGGGGGCCTCTTGGGGGCCTCTTGGGGGCCTCTTGGGGCCATCTTGGGGCCATCTTGGGACCTCTTGGGGCTTTCTGGGCGCTTCTTGGGGCCATCTTGGAGGGTATCGATCAAACAAGAGAACAAGAGGAGAGCATTAATTAGCGTCCTCCCCCCCAGGAGGCCCACCTGGGGTCAAAACCATAGTAAAACCAATGATTTGGGCTTCCTCGCCGAGGCCGTTTTGGACGCTCCGACGACTCGCGAATCCCCTTGTCCAGGTCCATGGGGAGGGGGTATGGGGAGGGGTCAAGACGCCCCCCCCGCCCGCAAGCCGTTTCGCTCACTCCCACATAGCACCCGAGCAGGCCCGAGCCGCAGCATATGCAGCAGTCGTGTTTGGATGGGCAGCTACTGGGGGCCAATTCGCCGCCGCCGCCGCTTCCGCCGCCGCCTCCGCCGCCGCCGCCGCCGCCGCCCGCCGCCGCCGCTAGCGCCGCGCCGCCGCCGCCGCCGCCACCGCCACCGCCACTGTCCGCCGCCGCCGCCGCCACCGCGCCGCCCGCCGCCGCCGCCGCCGCCGCCGCCGCTGCCAAATCGCCGCCGCCGCCGCCGCAGCCGCTGCCGCCGCAGTCGCTGCCGCCACCGCTGCCGCCGCCGCCGCCGCCGCCGCCGCCGCCGCCGCCGCCGCCGCCCCCGCCACCCTTGCAGCCGCCGCAGCCGCTGCCCCCGCCGCAGCAGCCGCCGTAGTATTGTTTTTTGAGGGGGTGCTGGGGGAGGCCGCATCGGGTTCGCTGCGCATGCTCCGAATTAGGAGACAGAGTGTGTTTTATTTAGTTTTTGACAAGGGATGGTGGGGGCAGAGTGTGTTCTGTATTCTATTACAAAAGGATGGTGTGTGGGGGTCCCGCATTGACTTGGGTTGGCTCGCAGTCGCCTGGGGGAGGAGGTGTTGACCTAGGGAACAGTGATAAACCCTTTCCCGAAAGGGAAGCAGGAGGGGTGGAATAGGAAACTCCCTCAACCACCGACGCCAATAGGGCAGGTGGGATTTTAAAAGCGAGTGTGCGCGGCGCAAAGGCGAGAACCACATTTTGAAAAGGAACCGCCCTCAATCCGTGAAGCTCTTGCAACTGTCTGAAACGAATGTGCGCGGCGCTAAGGCGAGAGCCGCACTAGACAACGACCCGGCCTCAATCTGTGTGACTATTTTGCGACATTTGAAAACGGATGTGCGCGGCGCTATCCCCCGAGGGCCACATCTCGAAAACCAGGAGGAGGAGGCCTGTAGGAACATCTCGCCCCCCTTCTCCCGCACAGGACGGCCGCCACATGCTCTCCACACCTCCGTGGTCGTGCTCCTGCGGTCGCTAACTGGTCCTTCGGCCCGCCCTCCCTTCGGGCCCCCCGCGTCGTCCCCGTCTCCCCGTCGTCGCGCTCGTCGGCCCCACACAACGGCTGCCAGCGAGCCGTTTTCCCAGGGCCCCTCCGTGCACACGTCTTGGGTGTAGGGGGCGACGGCTGCGCCGTCCTTCAGGAAACATGCCGCCTGCTTCGAGCTTTGACTGGAGCGTGGGAGGGCCGGCGGTGTTAGTGTCTAGTCTCGTTCCCAGGAGACGTGACGCACGTACAGTCGACCTTCCTCAGCACGATGCGGGCGCTCCGCGAGCGCTTCGGCCACGTCTTCTTCGTGCCGGGCAACCACGACTTGTGGTTGGAGGGCCCCTCGGCTACGGACGCGGTTCGCTGCGAGGACCCGTCCGTGCTCTGGCCTGAGTGGGGGGCGAAGAGGAGGGAAGGAGCGTCCGTCTGTGCCGTCGCTTTGTTCTTTTAGCTCCGGCTTGGCCACCGCCTCGGACCCCACCTCGGTTTGCCACCTCGGCTCGGGCCGCTGCACGCCGCCGTTGGCCGTGAGTGCTTTTGGCGTGCTCCTGTCCTTCCCCCCCCGTTCTGGAGGGAGGGAGGGACGAGTGAGGGAGGGAGGGAGGGAGGAGGAGGGACAGGAAGAGGACGAGGGTGAGGGCGAGGAGGAGAGGAGTACCCTCTGTCGACTGGCTCCTGGAACACCTGGAGGGCGAAAGGTGGGCAGGGGCGTTGACAAGCTCAAAGCTAAGTATCGAACTCTTCGTTTCCTCCTCCACAGCTGCATTCTTCTCCAGGTGAGGTGAACGTGTGTCGTCTATGATGGTGTCCTGCCTTCTCGCCACTCTCCTGAGCAGTGGTAGAGTCTCTGCAGGCCGTATGGGCACAACTCGCTCAGGTGTGGTGGTTCAGGTAGTTAGAATAGTACTCTCCACGTGGTGTTTGCCGCGACAGCGAGGTGAGAGAATCGACAATCTCGCTCGGTCGCCTGGGCGCGCGCGAACCAGTCCTTGAGCCAAAGTGCTTGCGGGTAGTTCTGTTCTCTGTCAGCGGCGGGCTGGCGTCGCCCCCCCCCGTCTCAAGCAAGCTTCACTCGGGACGTGAACTGCGTCATCCGAATGTGCATGCTAGAGGTGATCATGGAAGTAACGTTGTTGCGACCTCCTTGGCAGAACTGCCTGCAGCCCATGCGCTTACTTCTAGGGCTGCGTCGGCAGGCCACTGTCATGCATGATCATCGTAACCTAGGTCGTTGACCATCCGAGTCTGGTCGGGGGCCCCAGCAGGTCTTCGGATCTCAAGCCCAGGTCGGTGACCCTGCGAGGCTCGTGGGAGCCCTTGCGAGGTCACCGAGGCAAGCTGCACACGGTCGTCAACTCGCGCGGCCGAGGGCACCAGAAAAGGAGCACGGCGTGTGCGTCGGGTCACTCACGTGATACGACGTCTATCCAGTGCACGTGACTTGTCTGGGTGGCCGATCCTCGGCTCCGGCATGGCCAGATGCGACGCGTTGGCCCAGGTGCTTTGCTCGAGAGCCCCAGGATCGACAGACCCGCTCAGCCACGCTCCTCCTCGTCTGGCCAGCGTCGGTGCAGCTGGCCGCGTTCGCCTGGCCAGGATGGAATCTTTTCCCCGGTGAGCTGGTCCATTCCCTGGTGAACTGGTCCATTCCCCAGTTGTAGGTTCAGAAGATCCTGAAGCTTGCGAAGCTTTACAATCTCCAGCGCTCCTCAGCAGCTTTTACGGCGCTCCTAAGTATCTTTTAGGGCGCTCCTGAACAGCTTTTATGGCGCCCCTTAGCAGCTTTCACTGCGCTCCGTAGCAGCTTTTACGGCGCTCTTTAACAGCTTTTCAGGCGCTCCTTAGCAGGGTTAACGGCGCTCCTTAGCAGCTTTGAAGGCGCTCCTGAGTTGCTTTTAAAGCGTTCCTTTGCAGCTCTGAAGGCGCTCGTTAGCAGGTTTAGAAGGCTCTCCTTAGTAGCCGCCTTTAAGGCGTTCTTTAGAAGTTGTTGAGGCGCTCCTTAGCAGCTTGTAAGGCGCTCCTGGGCAGCTTTTCAGGCGCTCTTTAGTAGCTTTACAGGCGTTCTTTAGCAGCTTTTACGTTGCTCCTTAGCAACTACCCAGGCGCTTGTTTGCAGCAGTTGCGCTGCTCCTTAGCAGCTTTTACGGCGCTCGTTGGTTGCTTTCGCGGCGTTCCTTTGTAGTTATTACGGCGCTCCTTTGCAGCTTTCACGGCGCTCACTCGCAGCTTTTAAGGCGTTCCTTGGCAGTTTTTTGGAGTTCATTGCCAGCTTTTAGGGCGCTCGTTGGCAGTTTTTTAATGTGCGCTTTAGCAGCTTTGAAGGCGCTCCTCAGCAGCTTTTGACGCGCTTCTCGGTTGCTTTGAACGCTCCTTAGCAGCTTTTCAGGCGCGCCTTAACCGTTTTTTGCGGCGCTTTTTAGCAGCTTTTACGGCGCCCTTGGGCAGCGCTCTTGGCGCTCCTTGGCAGCTTTAAGGAGCTCCTTAGCAGCTTTTACGGCGCCCTTTAGCAGCGTTTAAGGCGCTTCTCAGCAGCTTCTACGGAGGAAGAGGATGAGAAAGAGGAAGAGGAGGACGAGGAGCAGGAGGAGGAGGAGGAAAGGGAGGAGGAGGAGGAGTAGGAGGAGGGTGGAGAATGTTGTGAGGGCCGCAACCATCGAGCGGAGTTCGGCCCACTCGGCCACCGTGCCCGAGCTGTGGGTGCTGAAGCGCCTTGTGTGGATACCAGGATCTATTGGGATGCCCCTCGGGGGCCTCTTGCAGGACTCATCGGGGCCTTTTCGGCCCCCCTCCTGGGGGCCTCTTCGGATCCTCTAGGAGCCTGTTTAGGGCGCCTCGTGGGAGTCTGGGAAGTTATGCGGACAATTCCGGGGCAGGCATCTCAGCATAACATTTCGGGTTCCATGCGTTTCATACATTTACATTGCATACACGCGTTTCTTTTCACATACTCTTC